GCAAAGGGGCTGCACACCATCAGCCACGTCCAGAATACAAAATGAAGGCAAACTGGGAGAGGGGGCGAAAATGCTGCCGTCACCATTTAGGGAACAATACAAACAAAAAAGAGAGGCTAACACAGTAGTTTAGCTCAGAACTCTGATCAGAAGGTAGCTAAAATTGGGAGAGGGGGTGAAAACATTGCCATCTCCAATTAAAGCAGAACAATCAGTGAGGCGTCCAGCCTTGATCAGGGAAAAATCGGCCAGAATTAAGAGAGGATGCAAGACGCTGTTGTCACCTATTAAGGAAAAATGGTAGCTTGGCGAAAAAATAGGCCAACAAGTTGGGAGAGGGAGAGAAATGTTCCCATCATCAACTAAACAAAACAAGCAACTTAGGGAGGCTAACAACATTAGCTCAGTCCAACAGGTTATGAAGCTGGCTGAAATTAGGAACTGAGGCGAGACACAGTCATCACCAATTAAAGCAGCAGCAGCTTTAGCAATACAGCAGCTTAGGGATGCTAACACAGTTAGCTAAATCCAAGCTATGAGACTGGCTAAAACTAGGAGCAGAGGCAGGATGCTATCATCACCAATTAAAGCAATGTGGCAGCCTAGGCCAAAACAACCAACTCAGGGATGCTAACACAGTTAGCACAGATATCATCCATCCATTTTCTTCCGCTTATCTGGGGTCGGGTCCGGTGGTAGCAGCTTAAGTACGGAGGCCCAGACTTCCCTCTCCCCAGCCACTTGGGCCAGCTCCTCCGGGGGAATCCCAAGGCATTCCGAGGCCAGCCGAGAAACATAGTCCCTCCAGCGTGTCCTGGGTCTTCCTCTGGGCCTCCTTCCGGTGGGTCGTGTCCAGAACACCTCACCAGGGAGGCGTCCAGAAGGCATCCTAAACAGATGCACGAGCCACCTCAACTGGCTCCTCTCGACGTGGAGAAGCAGCGGCTCTACTCTGAGTCCCTCCCGGATGATCGAGCTTCTCACCCTCTCTAAGGGAGAGCCCAGACACCCTGCGGAGAAAACTCATTTCAGCCGCTCGTATCTGAGATCTCGTTCTTTCAGTCACAACCCAAAGCTCATGGCCATAGATGAGGGTAGGAACGTAGATCGATCGGTAAATTGAGAGCTTCGCCTTTTGACTCAGCTCTCTCTTCACCACGACAGACCTGTACAGCACCCGCTTCATTGCAGACGCTGCACTTATCCGCCTATCGATCTCACGCTCCATTTTTCCTTCATTTGTGAACAAAACCCCAAGATACTTGAACTCCTCCACTTGGGGCAGGACCTCCTCCCTGACTCGGAGAGGGCACTCTACCCTTTTCCAGCTCAAGACCATGACTTCAGATTTGGAAGTACTGATCTTCATCCCAGCTGTGTCGCACTCGGCTGAGAACCGTTCCAGCGAAAGCTGTACATCATGATCTGATGAAGCCAACAGGACTATATCATCTGCAAAAAGCAAAGACGCAATCCTAAGGCCACCAAAAATGGATCCCCTCAACACCTTGGCTGCGCCTATAAATTCTGTCCATAAAAGTTATGAACAGAATCGGTGACAAAGGACAACCTTGGCGGAGTCCAACTTTCACCGGGAACGAGCCCGACTTACTGCCGGCAATGCAGACCAGGCTCTGACACCGGTCATACAGGGACCTAACAGCCCGTATCAAAGGGCCCGGTACCCCATACTCCCAGAGTACCCCCCCACAGGGTTCCCCGAGGGACGTGGTCGAACGCCTTCTCCAAGTCCACAAAGCACATGTAGACCGGTTGGGCAAACTCCCACGCACCCTCCAGGACCCTGCTGAGAGTGTAGAGCGGGTCCAGTGTTCTACGACCAGGACGAAAACCGCACTGCTCCTCCTGAATTCGAGGTTCTACTATCCGATGGACCCTCCTCTCAAGAACCCCTGAATAGACCTTACCAGGGAGGCTTAAGAGCGTGATACCCCTGTAGTTGGAACACACTCTACGGTCCCCCTTTTTGAATAGGGGGACCACCACCCCGGTCTGCCAATCCAGGGGAACTTCCCCCGATGTCCATGCAATATTGCAGAGTCGTGTAGGTCAACACAACCCTACAACATTCAGAGCCTTAAGGAACTCTGGGTGAATCTCATCCACCCCTGGGGCACTGCCACCGAGGAGATTTTTAACCACCTCAGTGACCTCAGCACCAGAGATTGGAGGGCCTGACCCACAGTCCCCAGGCTCCTCTTCCTCTGTGAAAGACGTTCCAGTGGGATTGAGGATGTCTTCAAAGTATTCCACCCACCGACCTACAACATCCCGAGTTGAGGTCAGTAGCACACCACCCTCACTATAAACAGGGTTGGTAGTATACCGCTTTCCGCCACGAGACGCCGAATGGTGGACCAGAATCGCCTCGAAGCCGTGCAGAAGTCATTCTCCATGGCCTCTCCAAACTCCTCCCATGCCTGAGTTTTTGCCTCAGTGACCACCCGAGTCACATGTCGCTTGGACTGCCGGTGTCCATCAGCTGCTTCCGGGGTCCCACATGCCAAAAAGGCCTGATAGGACTCCTTCTTCAGCCTAACAGCATCCCTCACTGCAAGTATCCACCACCGGCTTCGAGGGTTGCTGCCGCGACAGGCACCGACAACCTTGCAGCCGCAGCTCCGGTAAGCCACCTCGACAATAGAGGCCCACATGACCCACTCAGACTCAATGTCCCCCACTTCCCCCGAAACATGTTTGAAGTTCTCTCGGAGGTGGGAGTTAAAGCTCTGTCTCGCAGGAGACTCTGCCAGACATTCCCAGCAATCCCTCACAATACGTTTGGGCCTGCCAGGTCTGACCGGCATCCTCCCGCACCATTGGAGCCAGCTCACCACCAGGTAGAGATCAGTGGACAGCTCCGCCCCTCTCTTCACCTGAGTGTCCAAGACATGTGGCCGCAGGTCAGATGAGACAACGACAAAGTCGATCATCAAACTGCGGCCTAAGGTGTCCTGGTGCCAAGGGCACATATGGACACCCTTATGCTTGAACATGGTGTTTGTTATGGACAATCCATGACGAGCACAGAAGTCCAACAACAGAACACCACTCGGGTTCAGATCAGGGGGGCCGTTCCTCCCAACCACACCCCTCCAGGTCTCACTGTCATTGCCCACGTGAGCATTGAAGTCCCCCAGCAGAACAAGGGAGTCCCCAGGAGATGCACTTTCCAGTACCCCCTCCAAGGACTCCAAAAAGGGTGGATAATCTGAGCTGTTGTTTGGTGCAAAAGCACAAACGACAGTCAGAACCCATCCCCCCCCACACGTAGGCGGAGGGAGGCTACACTCTCATTCACTAGGGTGAACCCCAACATACAGGCACCAAGATGGGGGCAAAAAGTATGCCCACTCCTGCTCGGCGCCTCTCACCAAGGGCAACTCCAGAGTGGGAGTGTCCATCCCCTCTCAAGGAAACTGGTTCCAGAGCCAGAGCCATGCGTAGAGGTGAGTCTGACTATTTCTAGCCAGAACTTCTCAACCTCACATACCAGCTCAGGCTCCTTTCCCATCAGTGAGATGACATTCCACATCCCAATAGCCAGCTTCTGTAGCCGAGGATCAGACCACCAGGGTCCCCACCCTCGGCCACCACTCATCCCACATTGCACCCGACCCCTTTGGCCCCTCCCACAGGTGGTGAGCCCATGGGAAGGGGGACCCACATCTCCTCTTCGGGCTGTGCCCGGCCGAGCTCCATGGGTAAAAGCCTGGCCACCAGGCACTCGCCCGCGTGCCCCACCTCCAGGCCTGGCTCTGGAGTGGGGCCCCGGTGACCCACGTCCGGGCTAGAGAACAGCGAGTCCATTTATTTTGCTCATCATTGGGGTGTTTGGGCTGCACTTTGTCTGGTCCCTCCCCTAGAACCTGTCTGCCTTGGGTGACCCTACTAGGGGCATGAAGCCCATGACAGCATAGCTCCTAGGATCATTGGGACACTCAAACGCCTCCACCATGGTAAGGTGGCTGCCCAGGGAAGGCAAAACAACAAACTTATAAACAAGTAAGGCAGAATAAATAGAGGCTAACAGCACTGTTAGCTTAACTGAAGGAATTTTGGTGAGAGGAGATGCTTCTTCACCAAATAAGTAAAAGAAGAGCTTGGGTGCTAACAATTAGCTCAGTCCAGGCTGAGCACAAGGTAGGACAAACCACGGGAGTGACATGCTGCCATTTTTGTACCAGTAAAACAAGAGAGCTAACATGGTAGCTCCGTCAAGCTTTATGAGTTTAACTGAAAATTAGGAGCAGAGCAAATGGCTACCGTGAAATAAACTGCTGCTAACCGTGTTAGTTCCTGTTAACAAAGGGAGAGACTAAGCAAGGAATGCTGCCTCACCACATATTAAACAATAATTTAGAGAGGTACTTACCACTCTCTCGATAGCAACTCTAGTGTTATACACACAACATCATAGTCAAACGCTGTAGTCGGTAGGAGAGGCAAAAAACACAGTTTTTTTCCGACAACCAGCAGAATACCTTGACCCACGCCAACTCGTCGCAGCTCACAGGAGGGCGGCACACCGCAACTCCTACCAACAAGCAACTGGGCGTCCAACGACGGTGACAGGGTCTGTAGCAAATCGAACCGCATGCAAGAAGAAAAAAGGATCTGAGCTACGGATGAAACGGGGCTATATACCCCCTGCCCTGGCCAATCATCCGACATGTCACAGTTGTGACTTTTTTGATATTACTACTCAAACGACGCATGCGGGCATGGAATATTCAGTGCTTCATAAACACCTTCTGGTGGTCAGTAGGAATGAAATAGAACTGATTAACTTTGAGTCATTGCCATTCAAATGGCTGCCACAGGTAACTGACTTAACCAACACAAAGGTTATAACTCAGTCAACTGTACAAATATTGAGCTAAAACATGTTCTGGTAGTAGCAGCTGAGAGTTATCCTCGACATGTACCAGATCTTTCAAGATCTCACATTGTCTTCTGTTGTTGTCTTTTATTCCCAGAGGGACCCGTGGAGAAGAATATTTCTCTGCTTCTGCCTGAGATGTTTGTTAATGGATCAGCCAGAGCGACTGTCTCTGTCCTGGGTTGGTGAAGCCATGCCGACTTTCCTGCAGTCTCTTCTCTTACACTCATTGGCTCAAACATCCAGCCGATCTGAGCTTGTTTCCCTTCTCGTCTCTGCAGGTGACCTGATGGGCCGTGCCATGCAGAATCTGGACAAGCTCCTGGCGATGCCGTACGGCTGCGGCGAGCAAAACATGCTGTTGTTCGCACCAAACATCTTTATCCTCAACTACCTGAACAGCTCTGGCCAGCTGACTCCAGCCATTTTGGCCAAGGCAAAGGGCTTCCTGGAGAACGGTGAGCACTGCAGAAACTGATGGAAACAAGAGAGGAGGCTTCCTCAGCACTTTGTCAGAGAAAGACAACAAATCAGATTTGACACAAAGCTGCACCATTTACTACTTCATAATTCTGTCAATAATCATAGGACAATTTGAAGCAATGATGCAATCATAAGAAAAGCGTTATGACTTTCTAGTGTTTGTTACCAAACCATATTCTGCACTCCAAATATGCAAACATTTCTTCAGTGAGAAGTTTAGATTTGAGAATTTCTTACTATAGAAAAACAAGTTACATCATTTAGCCCAGGGGTCTGCAACCTTTTTGATCAAAAGAGCCTTTTCTACCCCTTGCTCACTAAAATGTGTCCAGAGCCACAAAACCTTCAACTGTGATTATCAACTGATGGCCCATGGACCAATTTGAGTTTGTTGGAGGGGGGCTTTTCTGACCAGGTGGGATGACTTTATAAAACTAAAATTATATAATGAATTTTAACATTCATTGATATTTTACATTTTAGGATTAAAGAAAAAAAATTATGCAAAGAAGGAAAGAAATTACAGTTTTTAGAAAATTTTATAAAAATTAAAACACTCTGATCTCTGAAGATCTAATCTGTGGAAAAGTTAGTTAAGTATCCCACTTTAAAGTAATAAAGTGTGCATAAAAATAGGTCATTTTGTTGGATCTGTAGTAGTGACATTGGAATTTTAAATGAAAAACACATCCATGTACTTTGACTTAAACTGTTTTATTTTCTACTTTTATTTATTTTGACTTAAACTATGTTTTATTTTTTAATTCTTCTTGTCAAACTGAATCACTGAATTTCTTCAAAGCAAATTCTCCAAATAATTTCTGGTGGGTTGAGAAAGATCCCACTGCAAAGCTAGAAGTTAGATAAATGCATTAGCTAAAACTTATCAACAGGTTTTGCTCCTTGTATTAGTAATAGTCACATAATTTCAGAAAAAATTCAACAACAAAAAATCTTCTAAAACTTATCTTTTCTTTTTTGAGCATAAAAGCCAATAAAATTTATTTCCATGTTAATTTTGGTCAAAGTTTCAAAGAGCTGCAGACGAGGGACGAAAGGGCCACATGTGGTCCCAGAGCCAGCAGGTTGCAGACCCCTGATGTGTCCCATTAAAAGTTAAATGTCAGGCTCACCACTTTATCTGTTCATTAGCTAAATATCTCATGAACTAATAGATGAATGTTAATGAATTGTGCAGAAAGTAATTGCATATCCATCTACAAGTGATGAATTGTGACCCTCAAACACACAAATGGCTGCCCCTCAGTCATTTTAACTGTTGAAGACCTATAATTCAGTGTGGTAGTAGCTGAGAGTCATTTACAAGCAGTAGCAGCTCCTGAGCATCAATATTAGTGGAGCTTTCCTGCTGGAATCACTAAACGCACCAATTGTACAGTCAGTGCTACATTTTACGTTGGAAAAGAGAGGATATACTGTATGTTGCTAATATTTATTTATTTTGTGTGGACAAAGTTGCTTTTTTTCCTCTCCCTCCTGTGGGCTGAGGTTGTTTGTGTCTCATGACAACAGTCTGGTTTGATTATTAAATCAGAAAAACCGGTATATTCATGTTGTTCCAAACTAGAGCCCGACCAATGTAGAAGACTTGGCTATCACCAAAACTGATACTGTTGTGGGGCAGGGGTCTCAGATAACCGATATAATGGCTGAAAATCTTTAAGCTTTGTCCACCTCCAAGAATTTTAGTAAACAGCGAGTGGAGCGAGGCTTGTTTATTTATTGCAGCTGTTAGCGTTGCACGTTCGTGGTGAGACGTATTGTGTCACTTCCTGTTTGTCTGTTGGTAGCTCGAGTGAATTGTTTGCTCGAGTCATCTCTTGTTTTCTGGATTTATCTGTCGTTTGCACAGTTTTTCATTCTAGTTCACAAACGCACTTAGTACAGTTGTTTTTCTACTGTTTGATAGTGCTTAAAACACCTCTTATCTTTCAACACTTCTCGGTTTTTATTGGTGTATTGGGATCTGCTAGCTCTTGCTAGCATTAGCGTAGCATGGCTGCTGCTTCTCTCCCTGCTTCCTCTGTTTTCTCTTGCTCTGTGTGTCAGATGTTTAGTTACTCCTCTGCCTCCTTTAGTGGTAATGATACATGCAACAAATGTAGTCTTATGGTAGCTTTGGAGGAGAGGCTGTCCGAACTGGAAGCTCGGCTCTGCGCTGTAGAAAAACCAGTAGCTAGCCAGGTCCCCTTAGACAGCACGGAACCACAAAGGCTATAGCTCCCGTTAGCGGTCCTCCAGCAGACCCCGAGCAGCCGGGACCCCATGCCGGCTTGGTGACGGTCCGGAGCAAGCATAGTGCTAAGGCCAAGCCCCCAGTTCACCACCGACCCGTTCACGTTTCTAATCGATTTTCCTTGATCAATGACACACCCACTGAGAAACAGACCCTGGTTATTGGCAGCTCCATAGTCCGAAACGTGTCTTTAGGGACTCCAGCGGCCATAGTCAAATGCATTCCAGCGGCCATAGTTAAATGCATTCCGGGGGCCAGAGTGGGCAACACTGAATCTTATCTGAAACTGCATGACTAAGGCTAAAGCTAAATACAGTAAGATTGTTATTCACGTCGGTGGTAATGACACCTGGTTAGCCAATCGGAGGTCACTAAAATTAATGTTGCTTCGGTGTGTGACTTTGCTAAAACCATGTCGGACTCTGTAGTTTTCTCCGGCCCCCTCCCCAACCTGACCAGTGATGACATGTTTAGCTGTATGTCGTCGTTTAACCGCTGGGTGTCCAGGTGGTGTTCTGACAACGACGTGGGCTACATAGATAACTGGAGTTCTTTCTGAGGAAAACCTGGTCTGATACGGAGAGATGGCATCCATCCCACTTTGGACAAAGCTGCTCTTCTTTCTAGAAATATGGCTGATTTTATTTGTCCCCCAAATTATTGACAACCCAGGGTCCAGTCCAGGAAGCAGAGTTGTAGTCCTCCACACCTCTCTGCTGCTTCTCCTCTGTTACCCACCCACACCCCCATTGAAACAGTGTCAACTCGCCCACGGCTCAAATTAAATAAACCAAAAATCAGCTCTAAAAATATAAACCATAAAAATCTGATTAAAATAAACACAGTTACTTTACCAGAGCAAAGTCATTAAATGTGGATTATTGAACATCAGATCTTTTTCCTCTAAATCCCTGTTAGTTAATGAACTGATAACTGATCATCATAGTGATTTATTCTGTCTGACAGAAACTTGGCTACAACAGGAGGATTTTGTTAGTATAAATTAATCCACTCCTGTTAATTATTTAAATTTTCATGTTCCTAGAACAACTGGCAAGGTGGAGGAGTAGCTTCTATTTTTCAGTCAGGATTATTGATTAATGCCAAACCAGTTATTAGTTATGATTCTTTTGAATCACTGTCCCTCAGTCTTTCTCATCCAAAATGGAAATCAGAAAAGCCACTTGTACTAGTTGTTCTATATCATCCACCAGGTGCTTACTCTCAGTTTTTGTCTGAATTCTCAGAATTATTAACTGACTTACTATTAAATACTAATAAAATCATCATAATGGGTGATTTCAATATTCATGTAGATGTTGAAAGTGATAGCTTAAGCATAACCTTTAATAATTTAATAGACTCATTTGGTTTTACCCAAAACGTCCGCACATCTACTCATTCTTATCATCACACTCTTGATTTAGTTCTGACCTATGGTGTAGAGATTAAGGACTTGGTAATAGTTCCTCAAATTCCTATTCTGTCCGACCATTTTTTAATAACCTTTGAGTTTACATTAAATGACTACACAGTCACTGAGAGTAAATTTCATCTCAGCAGGTGCTTATCAGAAAATGCTGTAACCAAATTTAAACGATCTCTTCCATCAATGTTTTCCTCTGTCTTGCAGAGTAATGCATCAGAGAACAGTGACTTAGATCATCTAGTTGAACATCTTACAACTTCAATGCAAAGTTCACTTGATAAAATTGCTCCAATGAAAAAGAAAGTAATCAATCAGAGGAAACTGGCTCCTTGGTTCAATTCTGTTACGTACTTTAAAGCAGGCATCTAGAAACCAGGAGAGAAAATGGTGCATGGTGCTCTACTAATGTTGAAGAATTTTATTTAACTTGGAAAAATAGTCTGCTAACATATAAAAAAAGCTCTCTATAAAGCTAGAACTTTATATTACTCATCTTTAATAGAGAGAATAAAAATAACCCTAGGTTTCTGTTTAGTACTATTGCTAGATTAATTCAAAGTCCCATTTCTGTTGAACCATGTATCCCTACAACTATAAGTAGTGATGACTTCATGAGATTCTTTATAAATAAAATTATTTCAATTTGAGAGAAAATTCAAACCATCCTTCTTTCTACTATCTCTAGTCCCCTGTCAAATGAGGCAACTTAAAAAAATTCGCTAGACCTGATTTATGTTTGGACAGTTTTTGTCCTGTTGAGCTCTCTGGATTGTCAAAAATAATAACCTCATCCAAACCATCCACATGCCTGCTAGATCCCATCCCAACCAGACTGTTTAAAGAGGTATTTCCCCTAATTAATGTCCACATTTTGGATCTACTTAATTTGTCTTTAATGGATGGTTATGTACCACAGCGCTTTAAGATTGCTGTAATTAAACCTTTACTTAAGAAGTCTGACCTTGATTCAGAAATTCTGGCCAATTATAGACCTATATCTAATCTAACTTTCATCTCAAAAATTCTAGAGAAAATAGTTGCAGGTCAGTTGCGTACCATACCATACCATACCATACCATACCATACCAATTTATTTATAAAGCACTTAAAATACAACAAGCAGTCGTCCGAAGTGCTGTACAAAATTAAAAACAAACAAAAAAACAGTAAAACAATAAAAACATCTAAATATACATAAAAAAAATCAGAACATCATAAGTAAAAGAATACAACATTAAGACACAGATGCTGACTCACTCTAGGTTAAAAGCCAATGGAAAAAAAAAACT